TACTACTACTACTACTACTACTACTACTACTACTACTACTACTACTAATAATAATAATATTAATAATAATAACAAGCTAATGGATATGAGTGAAGAAAAGCGAGTTAATATAATTTCACGGCTATATTTATTGCTGTAGATGCGATATAAGAGGCCTATGATATATTAGCGAGGCGTCACCTGCACTTTTCAATTTTATCTGATCGAGTTGTCGGAGTTCAGGCTTATCACAAATACAGTTTGATCGATGTGAAAGGCAGTGATTTCTCTGACAGTAGGTCATTGTGCCCATTATGGAGTTCATCTACGTCTTAGTTGTCTAAAAGTCGATGAACGTTTAAAAATACATTTTGGTTTTTTCAAAAGTTTGATTTTGAATGCAGGGTATGTAGCCGAACAGGTTTAGTTTGAGATGGATTCTTTCTACGAGCATTCTTTATCGTAATAAAAATAGTTTAGTGTCTTATCATGCCCTCGATCAGTCCACCAAGATGCTTTGACTACGGCGACGATGCCTATGAAGAAACACATGATACTATTCTAACAACAAATGATTAATAATGAGATACTAATTGTAAAATATATTTGCGGCTAGAAGATGCGAGGATATTACTGCGCCAATGGCTCCAAATTTCTCCAGATGTTTTTCCCATAATGTCTGAAATTCTTCATTAGCTTGTAATGTTTGCACCAGGCGTTCCACGTCCACGTCCCTATAGCGACCAGCGTCGTCAGATATCCCTGCAAGAAAGAAAGAGAGTTAGTTTATCGAGTGAAGATATCACGTGCTGAAAACGTGATCTGGTACATGAACTTGTTTGTAGCGCTCTGTGGCTCGCGGCAACAACCCGAGCAAATAACCAATTGTGTTTGGTGGGGTGGGGGATGATTTCGTGACCTAACTGAGTAACGACAACGGAATACGTTTTTTTCGCGTTTCAAGAAATAGACGGCTCGTAAATTAACATTACTCCAAACCATATTAGGCGCTGTGATATACACAAGCCGTTCACTGTGTGTGCTGTCATTCTAGGACATCACGGATAATGAAACGAAACGACAGTATAGGAGAACTTGAGAAGATTGCGTGTCTTGAAATAATTAAAGTTAGGCCAAGGAAAGCATGTGCCCTGAACGAATTCCTCCGGTTCGTGATATAACTGAGTAGTGACCGGGGAACGCACGTTTTACGGTTTCTACAGCAGACTCCGTGTCCGAGTCTTCTTGCCCACAAGTCCGAGATGAGGCCGAAAAGATAAATTTGCACCATAATTGATTATCTTGATTCAAGCATTATTTGCATTTATTAGGTACGAGCTGCCAAGGTTGGACAAGCGCCAAATATGTAAATAAATTGTTTCTTCACAATCTCTGATGATGCCACCTTACGTCTACTCTCTCGCAGTTCGACAGCTGTAAACAGAATTACACATTTCAGAGCAATTATCTCCACAGCGAGCGTGAGCGCGCTCTATTGTGAGAACATCCGAGAGCAAGCTAGGTGTGCGAAATGGGAACATACTTCTTAGTCCGTGTTATATCTCGTTTAAGGGTAAATATAACTCGTTAAATTCAAACACAAGGATCGCTTGCCCACCGTTTTCCACGGAGAGTGAGATAAAATCCTCGATTAATATCTACATAAAAATTGTTAGTAATAGTTATCGCTGTCGCGTCACGTGTTGCGTCATGTATCACGTGTAGTTAATAGTTTTCGCCATACTTATGTGACGTCATCACTACGCGCGCATGCCAGGATAACTGGTAAGTTCTAATTAGCATGTAATTCAGGTGTATATGCAGCTTGCCTGCCTGGTGCCCGGATCTCTATATTGTAACAGGAACTATTGTATTTAAGGTTGTACATGTAAAATCGTTGATTTTTGCATAAAACATCCTGTATTAATATTGACACATTTATCTATAGGTATCTATCTATATAGGTATATATAAATATGTTGGTAGGATATGCGTTGTCCTGCTTTAAGTAATCAAAATGAGGTATCCGGGTAGTTAAGTGTGTTTACATGCATATGCAACTGCCTCCTAAAATATGTGGGGTTTATATTCTGACAAGAACTCGATTTCTATGGTAGGTAATCGTAGCAATTAGAATCTCCGGACGGAAGCTATGACTTTGATGAGTGCACTGTGTTGCACATGTTTATCTGGTGCTTGCTAGGTGCTTGCCTATACGTTATGAGTATGCCTTCCTTAATGGGTGTGAAAGTATTGATCAAATATATCTTTAAATACGTAACCGTGTGGTATGTCTGTATTTCCGTACCTATTACCTAGGTCATATCATTGATTTTTGATTCGTCTGTTAGCAGTTAATATTGACGGTGACCTTCTCGTTATGTACACAATTGAATCGTCGTTTACCGCTAGTGTCGGCTTTCTTTACCTTTCTGCGCGCGCGCGCGTGTATGTGTGTATATAAAGAGTAAACATTAATATCATGAACTTGCATAATACTCAATATCATAATTATCCCGTCTGCAAGCACATGGCAGAATAAAGGTGTTCTTCGTAGACCGGTCTTGCTTCGATGCAGTTTTAATTAGGAACTTAGATCTTTATCACCCGGCCTGCGCGAGTAGCGCACCCACGTTCGTTTACTGAGCCGAATATAATCAACCGGCAGTTGATGTTTCGGGCAGAGCTGTTGCTCTGTATGTCACACTAGTTTTCAGCTCACTCTGTTTCATTCGCTTCAACGTCTGCCGTAGTTTCAATGCCGAAATCTTTTTGCTCGGGGACGCCATCCGTTCAGGCGCTCGCGTGGGCTTTATTGTGAATGAAGCTGTGAGCAGGAATTCACTAGTGTACGTGTTAAGCCGAGCACGTAATTTTTAGATGCTGCTCGATCAATAGCAGGAAAAAGAGGCGGACGAGAGGGAGAGAGACGTTCGCTGTATTCTGGGTGATTTGTTTTGCCTCGAGCTGCGAGAACATTCGAGCGTTGACGTCGATGCCATTGCCGTGCGTGCATGTGTGTGTGTGAGTGTGCGTGGGTGTGTGTGTGTGAGTGCGTGGGCGTGCATGCGTGTGTGTGTGTGTGTGCGTGTATGCGTGCGTGGGAGTGTGTGCGTGCGCGTGCGTGCGTGGGTGTGTGTATGTGTATGTGTGTGCGTGCGCGTGCGTGCGTGGGTGTGTGTATGTGTATGTATATGTGTGTATGTGCGTGCGCGTGCATGCGTGTGTGTACATGCGTGCGTGCGTGCGTGTGTGCGTGGATGCGTGTGTGTGCGTACATGCGTGCGTATGTGGGAAGCGTTCTCTGTGCTGTTTTATCTCAGCGTAAGGCTGCAATGTAAGTAATTTGCGAATGGTATTGTCAATCGAACGTTACATTCAGAAATAGTTTTTGCTCGTAGTCATTGTCAAGCGTCTATAGAAATGCAGCAGCAAGGTTTCAGATATAACAGCGATGCTCGTGTTTCTTAACGCGTGTGTTAAAAACCCTTGTGCGTGGCAAGTGCGTGCGTGCGTGCACACAATACATCTCAACACTGCGGTTGTAGCAGCTTCCGCGTCTAGGCGATGTTTATCTATGTGTATAGGTCTTAGTGGTCTTACCGTCAATGCTCAATGATATATATATATATACATATACATACATATATATGTATATATATATATATGTGCTGTTATGTAATAAGATGTGTTATATAATACATAATTACGCACGCGCGTACATACAAAGCACACCTTGCCTCCATCTCTCCGTTATCGTAACAAGTGCGAACAACGCGGGACAAATATGGACTTATTCCCCGCGTGTGCGTGTGCGTGTCCGTGCGTTCGTCCGTACATGCGTGCGCGCGTGTGTGCGTGCGTCCGTACGGGTGTGCGTGTGTGCGCACGTGTGTGTAAAGTTATAATGTGCGATGTTTTGCGCGTGTTTCCTGTCCATTGTGACGTGGAACTGTGGAAGGTTGTGACCTCACATGTGACGTCACACGTCGATGGTGCGGGTGTGTGACGTGTATAGGCGACGACGGTTATCTGAATGCTGGTGTAGTTCATCTTCCATTTGGATCAATTGCGTTCTTGTTTTGTTTTCTCAGCATCCCGAACAACATGTTTTGTAAGATATTGTTAACGTGTTTATTGACTATATATATATAGTTCTGGTCAGTGATTAAAATAAAACTGTCACAAAAAATAATATCTATACATGTTACACTAAGCTGGTAAGCGTTCGCTGTTTTATGCTTGTCTTGTATGCGTGTAACCACGGTACTTAGAGGTTGGGGCTCTCCGTACAATCCCATGATATTATAATTATGCTGAATAGCATCCTCTTTTCTTCGAATCTTTTGCGGAACTGGCAAAACTACTAATCCCACACTTGTGTTTTTTTATGTAAAATGCACAGACGCAATCGGGAAAGCAATAATAATAGTAACATCGGGCAGTCTGGACGCATACGACAAATGTGTATTTGATAATAGTAACAATCTAGCGTATTAGTACATGTAATCAGGAGTAGATAATAGATCTCTATTATCCACTCATGATGTCATCCATCTTGGTGGAGATGGCACGCGTTTTAGTAAGTAATAATTTGGAGATAAACCTAGATCATTACAAAATCTCAATGGCTAAACCAGAGGATAACAATGCATTCGAATTTTCCCACGTAGCGCTATAACTAATCGAGTTATATACGCTATAAACTAATCATTTATTTAAAATAATGCTCATTAAACCACAAGCGGGATTCAAGAACGGATCGCTGCACATCCATGGCGGCTGTGTCCTCAGAGCCTTGCTCATTACTGCCTATAGCGCCCTGAGTATAGCCGACCCATTACGCTGTGTCTACCTCACTGAGTACACTCGATTCATTTCGATGTTACACAACGCCTAACGCAAAATGCATAATGGTTACCACAGATACACGCAGCACGCGTGGAAGGTGAGCTGCCTCAACAATTATTCATGCGCGAAAATGAGCAAGCAACCTGATATGACATTTCATTCATTGTCCACCCTCTCCCTCCCCCTTTATCCCCCTCCCCCTCCTCCTTCTATTCGTCCTACTCCTTCTTCCTTCCCCTCCCCCTCCTCC